GAGAGAGAGAGAGAGAGAGAGAGAGAGAGAGAGAGAGAGAGAGAGAGAGAGAGAGACCAACCAAGTCTTCTCTGTTATCATCGCCGTTCCCTCCCTTTTCCTCCATTTCTCGATTTAGAGATGTCATCCTTCTGCAGTGGCCATGCTAATCTTCTCTATATCGTTCCAATTTTAACAGATGTTTCGAAGGACAGCTATCCCCTCCCTTCCAAACTTTTCCAATCATGAACATCCCAGACACTACATGGTGCAGCAAAGACCTGTTTGAATATCATCGGGAAAAGCAGTCTGTGGATATTAGGGGATGAATCGGATGATCATAATCTGGGCACAAAGATGCTCCAAGACCATTGACGGACTGGAAGTGAAGAAAGACATGGCCTGGTCTCGGTCGAAGTTCCCATGGAGACACAGATCACACACAAGTGTTGCACACCATCCTAAAGCTCAGTAAGAGCAACCCAGACAAGTTCGACATAGAAAAGGGTCGATTCTTCTATCTAAACTTGGACCCTCCAATAGCAAAATAGCTCGCACAGACCGACTTTAGTTACACAGCACAACCCGACAGAGGAGAGGGCTGATTCTCCTATATATGAGTTTCTGAACTAGCTTGCAAAGATAGGAGAATCGGCCCTTTTCTGTGTTTCTGAAAGGAATACACAGCACAACTCCACAGAGGGCATGCCATCTTAGTCAAATGGATCTACGGGGACACTGATAATAGGAGTCTAACTCCATCAAGTATGAAGTCAGGAATAAGAGGTGCTGGAGGTTCAGAAAGAGGACAAGGATCACAAAAAAGCAGCGAAGGAGGGATGAAGGGGGTTCTAGAAAAATATATGGCTCACCTGACAGTCGAATCAATGTTGTTCCAGGAGTTCCTTTGACCTTAAGCCTCTAGTACACGCCATGCATTGGCCGCAGGCCCCTTTTAGAGGCTGACACACGACGCAGGCCCTTTTTAGAGGCCGACACACGACGCAGGCCCCTTTTAGAGGCCCCGACTTTTCCGGAGTAGGTGGCGAACAATGTTTCCACAAGGCTGGGGCCATGTACTAGCGGTTTAACGGGAGGAAGAGTCAAAAGTATTAGGCTGCATAATCATTGACTTGCCGGTGGAAAAGGGGAGTTAGCGGACTGATGCTCACCAGAATAAACAGAGGCAGGACCAGAGGCCCCTGTACTCTCCTCCACACCCCCTTCCTCCCCCATCCCAAAAAAGGCAAACAAAAGAAGACAAACAGAGACAGGACGGACAACAAACTGGGGGAACCACGGTGGGGCTCTGGGAACTGAGCAAGTCCCAAATGACACCTTTGGGCACACTGGCACTTTTCAAAAATGTTCATGTGGATTGATGTTTCTTTAACAGCAGAGACACTAGAGAGAAGGAATAGTAGCACCATGAGAGAGAGGGAGAAGGCCGAGGGAGCAAACGGAACCTTGTCATGGATTGCCAAGAAAGACAGTGTGGACGTCGGACGAGCATTCACAGGGGGACAGATTCGTATAGAAAATAGCAAGCGTACAATGTTCTTTTCACAAGGGGATGCATGACAGAAGGGATACCAGCATGGAACTCAACAGGAACTTTCGAAGGGTTCGCCGCCAGGTAATGAATGACACCAGATATGGATTCAAATTTGAAAATGGTTCCTTCTCATAGGTTTTACACCATACAATCACCAGATAGAAAAGCGGGAAGAGAACGGAACACGGGAATGGCAGTGCGAAAATAAGACGCCAGCCACCAGATGGACCTCATCACAAGAGGAATGGACATTGCAGCGGGAATCGTAATGGCAACAAGAGGGACACTTACTTGGTGTTTTTTTTGCTGATCTGTGTCTCCTTTTTTTTAACTTTACCATGCCCTGTTCTGCTATGAAGTAGTGGTTCATCACCAGAATGGAGCTACATGTTTTAAGGGTTTTGATTGCAGTTCGCTGGATTGTAAAAGTC